TAGAATAAAAATAAGAATACTTTTTAATTGACATGTCTCTATCTACTGTTAAATATTTAATTGAAATTTGTTTACAATTTATTTAAATTTTATTGTAATAATTTTCTTTTAAATATTTTTCTGATGTTGAAAATAAAAATTTAGATTTTCATATCTACTATTTCTGCGAACTTAAAATTCACGATAAAATTTTTAACTATATACATATTTTTTAATCATTAAAATAAATGTATAGATAATATATAATATAGAATAAAATTATCATATTTTTTGTTTACTATTATAAATATTTAATTGATATTTGTTTCCAACTTATTTCATTTTCATTAGGATAATTTTTATTTATATTCTACGTGTTCCATTTGTTTACACAAATACAATATGTGTAAAAAAAAGTTTAGATTTAGATATCTACTATCTGAACGAACTTAATTCATGATTAAATTTAAATTTTTGATCGTGTATGTATCTGCGAGTCGTTAGAATAAATGTAATATAGAAATGTAATATATGTAATATAGAATAAAAATGTAATATCATATAATATTTTTCCTACTGATATATCTACCGTTAAATATTCAATTGACATTTGCTTGCAATTTATTTCATTTTTACTGAAGTAATTTTCATTTATATTCCACGAGCCCCGCATTGCTATTTACGTTTATTCGCGAAAAGAGATTAACGTTGTGGAAGAGACACGACTGTCGTATTAATTACCGTATTTGTGCTACATCGAAAGATCTCTGTTGAAGGAACGTGCTAAACGTGACGAATCGATGTAATGACCTATTCGCAAAACAAGTCAAGCGTACGACGAAAACAGATAAGCGCTATACTCGAACATTCGCCACCACGGGTATTACTTAATACGCGATTAATTGCTACTACGTGTCACAGTAACAAAAAGCGTGCGAAATCTGTAATGCCACCGTGCGTCTCTGAATCCGGCGTGTTCCGTGTTGTATGCAATATCCATCTATGTATTAGACCTTTGTCATTGTAAACTGACACACACGTGCTGAAACCAGCGCCCCGACAATGTCTCGTATCGCGAAGGTAAAAAGTAAGTGCACTCCGAACGGCCGGTAGCGTCGCCGGTATAAAACGTTTATTTCGGCGCGCTTGCACGGCATGTCAAATAAACCGGAAAACATAATGTTATCTCAGCCGCTTAACTATGATGTCTTTAAAGGCGCACACAGCGCAATTTTATGCCACACTTGACGCTCGTAAAAGTCTTAACGATTCTCCCCGGCTTCCTTCGCGTTTCCTTTTGTCATACACGCCGGCGTTAAAGATTTCGTTACATACTCCCGACGGTTGCGCGCCACGTACGGACGAAAAGAAAAAAAAAAAAAAAACAAAAAAGACAGGAACGAAAAAAAGAACGAGAAAAAGAGAGAAAAAACAGAAATTATTCGCGCGGCATAGTTACGTCAAAGGAAAGAAAAATCGTTGCTCGGTGCCGACAAATGTGCCGGGCGCGCCGAAAGTCTTTACGTCGCGGGTGATTATAAAGAGCGCTCGTTCGAAAAACAGGAAGACACATAACACACACATAAGTACTTTGATTACACATGTACTTTGACTCTAAATTCTGACATTGTAAGCGATCGCCGAGAGAGTATTACGCGATCATTAGATATTCTCGTAACTTCATTCCGCCTCATTACATTACTCGCGCATCATAGCAAACGCATCGTAGTCTCCTGCGCGGCTTGTGAAATATTTCATTATTCTTATCGCGACTTTAATTAGTCATTACCGAGCCGCGCGGCGTTACACAAACATAGCTACAATCGTGCGATATAAATAAAAGTAATTATTCATAGGAGATATGTGTTAGCGCAATTGGCCTTTCCGTTGATATTAACATGCAAAGAATACTATAAATCATTTTTGCGATTGCGAGACACAAGATAAAATGATAACAAATATGCGTGATCCATATAAACGAAGATATATATGATGTATCTTTGTTATAGTCTGTGTGCTCGCGCACATTTTCCTTCGAAATTTGCCAACTATGTAAGGAACAAAGGGAAATTTTTAATATTTCTATATACATAATAAAAAATATCTATATACATAATAAAAATTCTATATACATAATAAAAAATAAAATGTTAATTTTAACATTCTTTACATGTTCTAGAAAGTCCACCCTAAATTTTGTGTAAAAATAATTAATTCATGATGTGTGTTACTCATCGATGAATTACGAATGTTAATTAATCGACACTCCTCGATTTCTTTTTACATTCATATTTGTTATTTTGACTTTAAGCTCAATTTTCTTGTAAAAATAGCATGAAGAATAGTTAAAAAAAATAGACGAAAGAATAGTTCAAATAACTAGTAAGAAATGTCGATGGAACATTTATATAATATGAACGCGTTATAACTTATTTTACAATATGATATTAATTATTTTAGCTTAACTTGATAGAAATACTTTCTGTTGGTAAATTTGGTTACGTCAAAGTTTACAATAATTTGAGGTTTCGCTTTTTAATTTTTGTTCTCGATAATTTCATCGAAAAAAGAAATCGACAAATATGAGATGCAAAACAATTCGCTGTGGCCGCGCGGACACGACATAATATCGCGATGTGCTACCGAGAAAAATTCAATGCAGCTGCAAGTGCAACGATCTTTGTGGAAATTCCTGGGCGATGTGTCACGGTGGAGTAATCGCGTATATTTCTTTAGAAAGGATCACGCCGGAACTTTCCTTCGGTCGTGTCCGGACAAAATAACGACGAAATTACCGCGGCGAATTAAAGTTCGAGTCTTGCTTCTCCTGCGGTGCACAAAGTGAAATTTTCGTTAGGTAATAATTCTTCCTACAATTTATCTTTCGCGCGGAATTTTTCACGTAAAAACGAAATTGGTAGTGCAATCAACATATAATCGATCCTGACCACATCAATGCCGGAGTATGTGTCAGGCACATTAACACATATTCCGTCGGCCTTTTTGTCCAATGCACAAACTGACAATATGAGGTATACAAAACATACTCTTCATACGAATATTCTGATCAAGTGTATCGAATATACGATCGGACAATCATCTATATGTCATGTGATATCCCAGTGAAAGCATGTATGAATCTCTACGAATATGCGTTATCAAGCAAATCACTGTGAGATTATCGTTTTTTATGTCATACATGTAACGCTTCTCCTTAAAAACAAAATTAATTGACTGATTAAGCAATTTACATCTGGAGGAATCCGATCTTCCTCCTTTTCTGTAGAAATTAAACGATACGGTTAATAACGGCATGATGTATGGATTCCTTTTCGTTTGTAAAACGTAAGAACAACAAATAAGACACTCGCGCGACGTATAGAGAGTGGCGGAAACGAAAATTTTAACACCATTCATGCTACGCGAATTCATTTTGCCGATTTGTTTTTCACGTTCGCGTTATTTTTCTGAAAGTATCTTTTCATTTTAAAGGAAACACTGTAATTTATTATTTTAATTAAATGGCCCTAAATATAATCCGCCCATCAATCTTTCTTTTCTTTAAAAAATTAAACGATGTACGGTTAATAGCGTCGCGACATTTTATTTTCTTAAAAATACCTTAAATTGACATTAGGTATAATTCGTTAATCAATCTTCCTTCTTTTTTTCACAGAAATTAAGCGATATATTACGATCAATAACATTGCGGGATTTTACCTTTTCAAAAGTATTTTTGCATTTTGGAGGGAAAACTGTAATTTATAATTTTAATTGAATGTTCTTACAACGAAAATCTTTTTAGATATAATTTGTTAATCTTCTTTCCTTCCAGAAATTAAACAGTTAATAATGTCACGACGATTTATTTATTAATTTTTTTTTTTAGAAAATCTTTTCATTTCAGGGGAAACTATAATTCGTAATTTTAACTGAGAGACCCAAAAGTACACCATCCGTTGACGTCAAAAGCCACGCAACCCAGTATAAACATCGCGATCGTGTGCCGTCACAAAGCAAGAGGAGTTTATCTGTCCGTTATCGCAAGTCTATGCCGAAACAATCGCAATAACTGCATTGCGTTTCCTTCGTAGTAGTATGTCGAATGTGTTGTATCGGCGCAATCATAGGTCCACACACTGGAACGAAACGTATCGCGACTGCTTGTATAGCGAACGAGCATAACGATGCAGTGTGACTGCGCGCGGCGTACTAATCTCTCTTGCTGCGGCGCGACAAATTTCTCTAACGTTAGAACATGCACCACGGCGATCGACACTTTGCAAGAAAACATTGTTCTCAACGACGTCGCTGCACGTCGCGAACGTGAGAAACAAACCGGCAAAATGAATTCGCGTTGCATGAATGGCGTTAAAATTTTCGTTCCCGCCGCTCTCTATACGTCGCGCGAGTGTCTTATATATTTATTGTTCTTACGTTTCATAAACGGAAAGGAACCCACACGTCGCTTGGCCGCCGAGCGAGATGCATGAGCGAGAGAGACAAAAAGAGAGAGCGTTCTTTTCTTACTTGTCTCCAATTTTTCCGTCACGATCCAGACGTGTGAAATAATATTATTGCCCTCCCCTTCCTCCCAAAATGCCGTCCCCCTCCCTCGACCCATCCCGCGTCACATCGTGCCGCGATTAATTTGAGCGCGAAAAATTTCAAAAAGCGTAACCCAATTTTGCACTCGCGTGCAGGCCGTAAGCGCGTGATAATGGACCACGCGTTACCCATATGTATTCTCGTTTTCTATCGCAGTGCTCCGCGACCCCCACTTTGGCATCTTTACTTTCTAAACGCGAGACAGAATTGCCTCTCGTCTCTGACCGAGACGCGATTCACTGGTGGGCAAACCTGGGTAACGCGCATGTTACCCGAGCAATTCGCGCGCAATTCGCGCGCACAAATGAAGGATCCACCGTGCCGAGTCGGCGAGAATTATCCCTGCTCCTGCTTTTTGCGAACAACTCCCCGAATTTACAGCGGACTCTGTCGTGTGGAGTGGAAAAACTTACGTTTTAGCAGACCGTCCGTTCGACTCAGCGACGACCTCGTTCTCCCCTTCGTCTCGCGGCGTCTCGACGTCCTCGTTGGGCAGAGGGAAAAAGAGAGAGAGAAAGAAGCAGACAGGCGAACAGGTGGTTGATTCTCGCGGGGCTGTTCTACCGACGCGGAAGAGGGTGCGAGAGCCTGTACACGACAACTGCGGCTGGCTGGTTCTCGCGATGTCGCGCGAATCGATTCTCCCGAACGTTCGATTTTCCGACCAACGGATCGACAACTCCCTCGTTTTCTTTTTCCCTTTGCGAGCACTTCAATAACGCGTGTCTGCGTATTCTTGAGGATGCGGGATGTACGCGCGTGTTTCAAGTACCGTGTCGAAGACGAGATCGCGACGAGAGCCTACGTTCACCGTATTCGCGATGGTGAAAAGTTGCTTCTGGAAAACACGTCCGAACAGTTCGGGGGTTCAGAGACAACTGAACCTGCCTACCTGCCGGCGGACTTTGGAATCGGTGAGCGGTTCGCACTTCGGTCGGTTCGTTCGCCGACTCGCGGCTCCACAGGTTCGTTCGAGTCGCGGTCGTCGTTTTCTCTCTGTACACACAGCATACGGTAAGCCTTCGTCCCTCCTCCTCCTCCTCCTCCTTCTCCTCCACCTCTCCCTCCCCCTTAACCGCTCCCTTCTTCGTCGCCACCTCCCTCAACACCTCTTTTTCTCTCTCTCTCTCTCTCTCTCCTCTTCCCTCCTATTATCTCGTCGCGCGTCTCCTCTGTGTCACTGGCCGTGTGTCGCGACGGGTGCACAGGGGCACCCCCCGTGAGGCACGCCGCACGCACGTGCGTGCAAATTTCGCACATGCTCGAGACCGAACTTGACGGCGCTCCCCTCCCCCAAAATCGCTTGCACTCAGTGCATTCTAGCATCCTCCTCGTGTCTCTCTATCTGTATAAAGTATTCCGTTGTTCTTTTTTTCTCTCTTCAAATCCACCCTCTGTGCTTTTGATTCTATCAGATTTCGACAATTGCTCCAAACGCCGCTCAGCTCGCGTAATTTGCAATTAGACGACATCGATGTTTCATAGATTATATATACACGGATTATCATGAACTTTTCTTCGCGATTCGTGATGAACATATCTCAGGACCATTGACAAAAAATATTCTTGAAAAATATTTGAAGATAACTGTTGCTTAAAAAAAGGAAAGTAGATCGCACTGAGTGATCGCTTTTCTTTGCAATAGAATGATATTTTTCTGTATGTAGTGATGTTTTGTCCTGTATGTGATGTAAAGTTTTTCTCAAATGTACGAGTCATCTCTTAATAATAAGCTCTTAATATCTGCACTTGTAAAAATAGTAGCCGCACTTCTTGTAGTATCTTTCCGTTGAAAAACAGTTTTCTACAAATACTGCATTTGTACGACTCTTTTATATCAGTTTTTGCCTCAAAATTGTTTAGATTTCATTTAAGATATATTGGCGATTAAATCTTATACTGGAAAAATTAACAAACGGATATTTCCGATCAAATTCCGATGAATTTTTATATCCGATCAGGATATCCGAATAAATTTAATCGAATACTTTTGATCATAATGGTACTTCATCAGATAAATCGATAAAAAAATTGCGAATCGATATCTCTCATCGGATGTTTCCTGAATGGATATACAATTTTATCGATATTTTGATCGAAAATATCCATTTGTTAATTTTTTATCGAATAATTTATTTTAAGGTAAAAATTTTAACATAAACATGAAATTTGTTTCAAACTAACCGAGAAATTGCGATCCACTCGCAGTCGTGAAACTTAAGTTATAAAAATTATCTAATACCTACTCCATCACATAACTTCATAACCAATCCTCTCTGATGTGAAGTAATTACTATTTCTCCCTCAAATATGAAGTAATTACTATTTCTTTTGCGCTTTGGCATTCGCAGTTTTAAAGAAGTGTGTAAAATTTTTAACTGTCACTATATTTAATGATGGAGAAACTAGCGTATTTAGTTCTTCATCTACGATGTTAACATTTTCATGCATCATTATCATGATATATCAAGTGTGAAAATAATCAGCAAAGATTCGCGCCGTGATAGTGAAGAGCCCACAAAAGATTCGTACGTTCGATTCACGACGTAACGCGTAAATTCCCGAGTGAATATTGCCACGGGATATAAGGCGCAGCGCCTTTGGAAACATTATTACGCGAGTCATCAGGCGGAAAATAATAAGACGCCAGACACGCTTGGATACTCGCTCGATTACGTCCAGTCGAAACGCAAGAGGCTCTTGTTGCCGCGCACGTTTTCCCCGGCGGCGGCGATGGAAAGAAGGCGAAAGAGGTCCTATTAATAATCACAATTAAACCAGGTGGCTAACACTTTCACGAAAAGAAGAACGAAAGTCCCGCACCGGCACAATAACTGCATTAATGGCGTTTCACGTGTCACTGGGTCACTGTGTTCACCAGCGTCGGCGAACGGTTTTCCACGGCGTGCTGATTACTTTCGACAAAGCGACGAAGAACAGTTCTGTCGCGGGAAACGCGCTCCTAACTCTTTCACTATCAATTTTGTTTTTCAAAAACATTAAAAGTAGCTAGTGTCTACAAGAGCAAGGAGGAAATGCGCGGAAAATAAGTATATAATTTATTTAACCGTTGTGTATAAATGTTTCGATCCTACATTGGATTCTTTTCAATTATAAATTCGATCTTTTTATGAGTGCGTTATCGTCACAATTAAACGCTGGTTGTTATTTTCGTAGTACATTGTTTGGTTTACTCGCGATTCTTGTTGGAAAAAAAACAACATTAAAATTATATTAAAACAATATAAACCATTGTATTATCTTACTTACAAAGTTCATATCAAATGCGGACATAATGATGAACAACTCCAAAATATAGGTCAAATATATAGCACTTCCTTCAAATATATAGCACTTCCTTCTTGCTTGATCTACAATGTGTTCTTTGCTTCCTATTTCTTATTCTCTGTCCTTTCCTGGCTTAAGGTTTAGAATCAGAAAGAGATAAAAAGAAAGAAACAGAAAGCAAAGAGCACATTGTAGATTAGATCTTATAGGCCATTACTACTTTTAATATTTTGGATTGTATATCAAAGAGCCTTTATTAAATCTTTATTGTTCGTTTTTTAGAAAAGTACAATTTTTTTTACACTTCATTAAATACATCATCATATATAATGTAATCTTAGCAAAAAAATTAAGTTTTATGGCCCGGGCCGGGATACTGATGTCCTACTGAAGTTTTTGGGAGAATATAGTTATGTACTTATTATCAATGGTAATAAGTAGAATGATAGTTGATGTGCTCTGAATACAGGAAAAGCTATTTATTCATTTGAATAAGGTTATTATTTATGGTGAGGAAAAGATATAAAACACATTTCCCGAGACATATATATCCCGTTGGTAGCGAAACGGTTAAATGTCAAGGATGAATAATTCAAGCTCGCGTTATTGAAGTGCTTATATGTTCTTAACGTTTTAGCAAATTACACGCATCGTAGCCGCGCAACGATAAAATGTAGCAATGAAAATGTTAAGGGTGTCCCAGCAATTGAAACATTGAACCCGAAGAGTGCGACCTCGCAATATCTTGATACGTTAAAAATAAATATTTGAAAGCACGCATAGGCTCTACGTTTAAAAATAGGCAACGCCGTTATATTAACAGAATTTTGTGCAACCCTTTGTGTAACCCTTTGTGTAAGAAGTACACGGAGCTATTTAGAAGTGTCCTGATGGACGATTTTGTGGATGTCGTCGTAAAATATGCAAACTAACATTACTCAGACAATCGCAATGTCGCAGAAGTTACGAACATTTCGTGCGAACGACATTGCCGTGGCGAATGCGAAGCAACGCGAGCTTGAATCACGTAACAAAAAATACGAGAGTAAGTGTAAATGGGAGCGTTATCGTTAGCCAAGGTTAACGATGATGAATCAATCGCACTTTATGTATTGCAGGAGTTAACCGTTTAGATAAAACCGTTTAGACACAATGAAGTAGTGAAGCTTACCAAATTGTCAAAATTGAGAGTCATTACTGTGTGTGGGTATGTGTGCGTGCTCGCAAGATTACTCAGTAATTATATTGTTAATAATAAGAACAATTATCAAATGTTATTTATTATTATTTTTAATTATATTATTATTGCGTAAGTTCTTCAGTATATTAAGAAAAAAAATATCTAAGAAATAAAGAAGAGATTATTGTACTTATAATAATATAAAGTATTTCCTAAATAAGAGATATGTTTTCTTAAAACCTTGACTTTTTATAAAAAAAAAGTAATTGTTTATTCTATTTAAATAAAAACAATCGGTATATATTAAGAGAAGAAATCTAAAGAATACCTAAAAAATAACAAATATTTATTCTATATACTTATACTGTAAATTATACTTATAATGTAAAATATTTTCTATATAAGAAAATATAGATTTTCTTGAAACTTTGGCTTTTTTTTACATGAAAACGACTTTTTGTTTCATTTAAATGAAAGAATTTAGACTTCAGTAAACATCTTCTTCTATCTTATATTAATCATCTTATATTACTCATCGAATAAATATATTTTAATTTTAGATCTTTTTATTCGCTCAGAATAATGATCCTTAATTTAGACAATTTGACGAGCTCCCAATTTCATCATGTGTGTAAGCTGCTTTTGCAACCCTGTTTTGTACCGATAATGCACATCGAGACATGCGAAAAGACGTACCGGTTTCCGAGGACAGAAGGAGGTAGAGGTCGTGCACAGACTCCTCGTTGCTGACTCGTCTTGCGACAAGCAGCGAAGCTCAGTGGTCCCTACCGTACACGACCTACAGCACCGCGACGTTTCTCAGTTAGCCGTGGCTGAGGAGAGTTTTCCCGTTATCGGCGACGCCGTCGCGACACAAGCATGCCTCTTAAATCGCACTCACCGATCGTTCGCACCGTGTATCGCGGTCGCGCCAACACTCGGAAACTCCTGTCGGCCGCGACGGTACTTGAGGATTCGGTACCGCGTGACGTCACCGGCGACGCGACTTAAGGTATCGTCGGAACTGATGAGACGTTATCCTCCCCCCCCCTTGTCTTCAAATGTGCAAGGAGATGCAATTATCTCAGAGGAGTATGTGCGTCTCTTATTATAAATCCAATCATCATTTCCGAAAATCGCTAGAGATAAGTGACGTTTTGCCAATGTAACACTTTGTCGAAAATAAGAGGTGAGTCACGTTCGTGCGTGGAAAATGTGAATTTTGTTCCCTCAAGAGAGAACTGATATTTACACCGCAAAAGATTTGCTGTCAAATTTCACACACTTCACACGTGCCAATTTATCTGCTCAAATTTCTGCGTTAATTTAACACAGAGCAAATACGTTAACAAATAACACAACTTATCTATACACTTTACAATATATGAAAAGTGTAATAACATGACAATATTACTGAGAATGAAAGTAATCGGGACGTATTTCTGTAAAATACGACACACTATATATTAAAACAAACGCGTCAATCTCTTAATCGAGTTTCGACGTTCATAGATTTTGGCAGACTCATTATCTATT